AATTCATGCAGGTTTAAATGCCTACTCTGCCACTACCTTGCTTGGTTCGTTTTCATGTACAATTCAAATCAAATCACTGTTGAGGTGATCGCCATAGCAAAACACGTAGCAATAACATATTATCGCATATCTACCTCAATATTCATTTTGCCTGAGAATATAACATTTCACCACTTGCTGTCGTATTTCGTCAAGCAAATTAATAAACGTTTCTCTCATTGTGTTGTTCACCAGATCGTCCAGATCCATAATGTCATTTGTTTTAGTATAACGTTTTCAAATATCTGCAACAACTGAATATTCAATATTTAACTTATTAGCTATTTGACGATGAAATATCCTTGGTTTTAAAGAAAAATAGATTTGTAACATGTTTTTTCAGAGATTCTCCACAATGATTTTGGAGTTTCATGCTGTATTACTTCGCTCGTTATGTAGCCTTTTTAATATCTAATTGTTTTTATCAGTACTATTTCAAAATTATAAATTATAAATTTAGAGATAATAAATGCTATGGAAAATTAACTTTAAATTATTAAAAAAATTGTCAATATATTACATTAATTTTAAAATTAAAGCAGTAAGCATTAACTTTTGACAAACAAAAAAAATAATATAGTCGATGTTATTAAGTTACATTTAATTAGGGATACAAAATAAATTTTATGAAGACAACTTGTCAATTAAATAATAAACACACACATTTAGCCTATTATATGCATTATAATCATTCACATGTAATTTTATACAAATGTTTTTTTAGCTATATACATGAATATAAGTGTATCATATATCTATAAATTAAGACAAAAGTAGTGTTGGGTGAACTCTATTTTTGTTCAGAAAAAAATTGTATATTCAGATCTGAAAACAATTTCAAATCAAGATTAGACTATTTGGAATAAAAAAGTAAAAATTAAAAAATTGTCACTCAGATTTTCAGAAAGAGTTTTTAAAATGTAAACAAATCACGCTTTAACAGTTAGATAAATACAGCAGAGAATCCCAGTTTTTTATATACTAAAACATCTTTATCTTGTTTTTATCATTTTAAATCAATAATTCAATAATCTTTTTATTATTTTATTCTATCAAAAGTATACAAATAATAACTACTAAAACTTAAATATTATTATTATGGCGGACCTGTACAAGATGAAACGAAGGTTAAAGTATGTTTTTGGATCACAGGGTGATTTAAAGTGGTCTAGGCTAGATAAAACTGTATACAGAGAATATTATGATTTTTATAATAAAAATATTTGGGAAAATTTCTCTTTATTCTTAAAACATATTAATGATAGGTATCCTCTGTAATGTAATATAAAATAAGTATTGTAATATAATATTTACATTGAAAATGTTTCATAATGTTTGTATTGAACTTGTTTTTTTTTATGCACAACACAAAATATACGTTAAAGAAGAAGATAACTGTAGAAGATCGATTAAAAGAAGATTAGCCACAAAAAGATATGTAAAGAAGAGAAGCTACCAGAAGATACCTTTAGAAGATCGATTAAAAAAAGAAAAGCTACAAAAAGATATGTTAAGAAGAGAAGATACCTTTAGAAGATCTATTTAATCTAATATTTAATGTAGATATGTTGATAATTTGTAATATTTTAAATTTTTTTATAAAATGTTACATTACTATTTTACTATTTTATGTTTTACTATTTTCTACGTTTTAGTTAGAAGTACAGAAAGTATTTTTATTTTCATGTGCATAGAGAGTTGAAATTTCAATAATTTGGAGGGCATAATAAAAATTAAAAGTTTTTCATATAAAAAAAGTAAAAACAAAAATAATAATGCTAAAAAAACTAACTAAAACTATTTTTTTCTTCTATGCCCTCCAAAAATCTGATAAAATAGACATTCGTTTATAAGTATGTAAAATTTCAATCATCAAGCGCGTAGTAGCTTAAAATAGCTTAAAAGCAAACAACGCATTAAAACAACTCCAATGTTGATTGGCCTAAGACAGGTTTTCCGTAAAATACGCAAAAAATAGAAAAGTGATCCAAAATCATTTAAAATATTTTAACAATGTTTATTTTTATTTCGTTTCATGTAAATATTTATTTAACGAAGAAAAATAGTTCTTTTATATTTTTTTAATTTCAAGATTAAAGCGTTTATAGAAAAAAAAAAAATACTATTAATTTAAAGTTAGTGAATTTTTATACTTTTTATGCGGAAATTCTTTTTTTTTTTTAATCGCAAAAATTCTTGTGACGTCAAGCTCGCTTTTATATTGAGAGAAACAGCCGTGAGATATTTCTTAATCAGTGTTTTAACAAATTAGAATGTGTTATTTTGTTTTAAATTCCAATAAAGGTACTTGGAGCAATAAAGAGTTTTTAATAAAGTAAATTAATTCTAAATGATGTCCTTTTTAAAATCCTTATTTTAATCCCATTCTTTTTCATCATTGTATTGTAAATTCCCATTCTTTTTCATCATTGTATTGACTAGTTGCAAATTTTTTTTAATGCCACAAACTTTAAAAAACGTTTAAGTTATCAAGCGGCTGGTGAATAAAAAAAAGCATTTTTAAAGCAATTGCAATTTAAGTGATTAAAAGTTTTGCTCAAATATTTACTCACGTAAAGCTGAACAATTACTCAACGTTAATCACTGCTCTTGCGCAAATAAAATTTTGAGCGATTTTGCTCAAATTTTTATTCACGTAAAGCTGAGCAATTACTCCAAAAGCGCTGAGTAAAAGCAATTGCTTATGCTTTTTTTTATTCACCCGGCCTAATTTGTTTTTATATATATATTTTCTATAATATATATAAAAACAAAACTTTCTTACATCGAGTTTATCATACTAATTTTATTTTATTTTATACTTTATATTATTTTTCTATTTTTCTTTGTTTCTATTTTTTTACTAAAATAACTAAATAATAAAACAAAAAAAAAACAAAAAAAAAAACCGGAAAAAAATCTAATATATATAAAATCAGTTCGCAAAAAAAAATTAAATTTTTAAACATTTTTGTAAAATAAGCTCATGCAATACTTTGATACAGTTCTTACATGATATTGAACTGTGAAAACTTTTTGTTAAATTCTTATTTCAGCCTACTTAATTCAATGTTTCTCTGAGTTGCGCTTGTTACAGCTCTCATAAATGCACCTCGTATTCCTGAAGCTTCAAGCTCATTAACACCACGGATAGTTGACCCTCCTGCAGAAGTTACAGCATCCTTTAACTACAGAAAAAAAAAATTATTATAATAAAGTAAGACGCAGACTGAAACTAATCATTTTTACATTTTTTAAATAAAACTAATTTAGCACGATTTATTTGAGCAACTTTTAAAATGACTTAAAATATTAAAAAATCATTTCGATCAAAATTATTATTTTATTGAATTTATAAATATTTTACTCAACTTTTCAGTTAAAAAATTTAATATTAACTTACTTCTCCAGGATGCTTTCCAGTCTCCAGCAACATTCTAGCTGCACCCTCCATAGACTTTGCAGCCAACTTATAAGCAGCAGCTCTAGGTACACCATTCATTACACCTCCATCTGACATTGCTTCAACAACCATGTAGTACCAAGCAATGCTGCAACCCATTATGGAAGTCATAGCATCAATATGATTTTCATCAACCTCTTCAACTATACCTAAAATTTATTTAAAAAAGTAAATTCTGTACTAGAGAGTAGGGAACTAGTTGCTAACGTTTTTAATATCATAGTTTGTCGAGTTTGCCAAGAATACTTGGCAAACATTTTTTAATAAAAGAAACTTGCCCATAACTTACATCGTTAAATTAAACTAAGTTACAAAATTCCAAAAATTCTCAAAGTTGCGCCGGAATGTCGGCTTTCCATCGCCTGGTATCATATGGTATTCCTTATGATTTAACATGGAAAACATATCTTGCATTAGTTTTTTCGCATATGGCTTACGCTTGGCCTGCGTTCTGTGATATCTCTCGCACTCAAATTATGAAACTGTCTACCATAGAAAAACGCGCTTCTGTTTTATGCAACAAACGCCCATGCTCCAATCAACCTGCAAAATGTCTTGAAGGTATTTGCCTCAGATTAATAAAAAAAGTTGCCACATTGTCTGATCATCCTCTTAGATCGTTATTTTCAGTCAGAACTAATATTAGAAATCTTAGGAACCCGCGTAAGCTGCAAATTTTGCACCCAATGTCGATACGGCTGGAGAAATTTTTTGCGGGTTTTTGTAAGAAATCATAAATACCTAGATATTGTATTTATTTATAATAATAATAATAATAATAATATTAATAAGAGTAATTAAAATAAATAATCTTTTTTACTACAAAACTGACTTCAATTCACCTAGAATGCTATTGAGAAACAATATAATCTTTTCTTAAATATAAATACGTTGAAAAAAAATTCTTATATATAAAAATTTAAATAGCTTAGTAATTAACCAACTATATTAACATTTTTTTTTGTCATATTTTTTATTTAACGAATGTTATATCAAATTTAAAGTCTATTTTACACTTTCAACTTTGCAAAACCCTGTAATCTGAGGTTTGACCTCAGGTCAAGGCTTAAGTAATGTAAAAATAACGGTTAAAAAGTTTTTATTTTTTTTTAATAATATATTGCAAACTATATTATGTATAATTTTATTTACATTTGATAATTTGCATTTAAATGACGAAGGAGAACTAAACGAAAATTATTGAATACAAAAAAAAAAATTATTTTAATAAATTTTTTTTTGAAAATTTAATTACAAATTTTACACAAGGCTGTGACCACAAAGCTGTCACATGTTCTCTGGCTTGTTTACATGTTATGAATTTAATTTTTGTTTAACTACTGATGTGTCAACATTATATTCGATCTTTTGTTAAAAAATAACTTAAGTATCTAAAGATTCAAAATAGTTATATCAAAAACAGAATGAGTGTATCAAGGTTGTTGGCTGGTAGGAAACATAAAAGTTCTGTTTGGGAATTCTTTATTAAAGATTGAAAAAATGACCAACTCAAATGTCTCGTACAGAACAATAATAATTAGTGCACATGGGCACAACTCTTGCCGGAAAAAAATTCCAGTAACTTATCTGTTGTGACACATCTTCATCTAACGGCTTATTTAAGGCGTCTAAGATGCAAGGCAAACTGTGTGTGTCTTTATATATATACATATATATATATATATATATATATATATATACATATATACATATATATATATATATATATATATATATATATATATATATATATATATATATATATATATATATATATACATATGTGTGTGCATATATATATATATGTGTGTATATATATGTATATGTGTATATATATATATGTGTATATATATATGTGTGCATGTATATATGTGTATATGTATATATATATATATATATATATATATATATATATATATATATATATATATATATATATATATATGTATATATATATATATATATATATATATATATATATATATATATATATATATATATATATGTTTCAATGTCATATCTTGTTGTACATAATTATATATATTTATATTTAAAATATAAAGCATAAAACAACAGTTGCGTGAAAACCAAATTTTTTCTTTGTAATATTTCGACGTATTTTTGCACAGATCGTCATCAGACGTAAAATATAATACAAAAAACCGTTACAAATATTACATAAAAAAATTATACAACCAACATTTAACAAAAATAAAACAAGATTAAACTCCTCCTCGTTTGTCACCCAAGCGAAATCTTGGTTAATTAATCCTAGTGAAATTCAAGTCTCTTTTGATGTGGTGGCATTATATCCCTCCATTCCAATTGACAGAGCAATTCCTATGATTATATATATTTTAAACAACAATATTGAGAATCTTAAAAAAAGAACCCAATTAACTCTTAGTGATATACATGAAATGATCGAACTCTGCCTCAACCAATGTTATTTTTTATACAAAAGTGAAATAAGATCTATACCGAATTCGGGACTTATAAGATTGTCCTTAATGGTCGTAGTTGCTGAGGCGTTTTTGCAGCATTTGGAAACAAAAGCTCTTATTATTGCTGAAGTTGATCATTTTTTCGCCAAAGACTTAAAGAAGGTATGTAGATGACAGTCATGCAAGATTCGACTCAATACAAAATCATGATAAGTTCCTGGAGTTATTAAATAAACAAGATCCAGCAATAAAATATACTTCAGAAAAAGAAAACAATAAAAAAGAGCTAAACTTCTTGGATATAACTGTAACCAACACTAATAACTCATACTATAACTTCAAAATCCATCAAAAGTCGGCTATCACTAATATATTAATAAAACCAACATCAAACGTTAATCCATAAATAGTGATGGGTGTTTTTAAAGGTTTTGCATCTTGTGCCATTAAAATTTGTTCCACAAAGTATCTTAATGATAAAATACAGTTTTTAGTAAACATGTTTGCAGAAAATGGACATGATAGATTAAAGCTTGAAACAACTGCTAAGAACTATATTCAGAAAATAAACAACCTTTCTAAAATAAACTATAGTAAAACAGAAACAAGTAAATATACAGTTAAGCCTCCATGGCTCCCAAGAATAGGTCCAAAACTTAGAAAAGAACTTAAACATTGCAACATCAGAATAATTTTTACTACACCACCTACGTTAAAAAACATCTTATACAACAACAAGTCAAAGTTAATTCCCAATAGCAATCCCGGTGTCTACAAACTCACATGCTCTTGTAGCAAAACAAAACAAAAAAAATTTAATGAGATGCATTGAACACCAAAAAAACTATTTAAAAGATAAATGGGATGCATCTGGTGCAACTGAACATGATAGAGAATGTAATGGTATGTTTGATTTGTCAAATCCGAAAACTCTAGCAATTAAATCAGAATATGATGAACGTAAAGTTAGAGAATCACTTGAAATTAATTATCCTATATTTCTCAACTGCGACAATGACGTTAAAATTTCTACAAACAGTTGGAGACCCTTTTTTAATAAAATTATCCAAAAAAATGGACTTAAATAATATTTGCTAATTATATATTTACATAGTTATGTATCATTTATGGCTTCTTTTTAATAGCTGTTGTTTTATGCTTTAAATTTTAAATACATTACAGCTATGTACAAACTAAATTTTTTCTTTGTAATATTTCGACCTGTTTTTGCACAAATCGTCATCAGACATAAAATATAATACAAAACACTGTTACAAATATTACATTATATATATATATATATATATATATATATATATATATATATATATATATATATATATATATATATATATATATATACACACACACACACATACATACACTTTATGTTATGGTTGAACAAAATATTGGGAATTCTTGTTGATATTATTATATTACTAAAAAAAAATGATTGAATTTTAAGAATTTTAAACCCATTGGGAATTCCGCAGAATACATGGTGCCATATATATATATATATATATATATATATATATATATATATATATATATATATATATATATATATATATATATATATATATATATACATCAATAAATACAAATTCTCTGAATGCTATTTTTTTTTATTTAATCTAAGAAATTTTCACTAGATTACTGATACTGATACTAGCATCTTCAGCTTTAATTACAAATTATTAATTAAATTTAACTATAAACAAACAGTAACTTCACTTTTTAATGGCTTTTTTAAAGTTCGCTTTAATTGGGCTTCTTTAATGTTGCGTAAGTATAAAAAATATGGGGTCCAGAATTGCATTTTTATATACTGACCATCATTTAAATTCATACCTCCATTCTTAGGTCTGCATTTGTTAAACTGAATTTGGATTGCCTCAAACTTTTCTTTCAAACTTTTTGGGTTCTACTTTTAATGTTTTTACTTGATCCCATTTTATATTACACAGACATTTAATTTTATGATGCCTAATTGCAGATTGTTTCAATTTTCCTTCAAAAACATTTTTTTGTGTTGTTTTGTTCTTGTTGCTATTTTCATTTTTGTTTTGTTGCTATTTTCATTTTTGTTTTGTTGTTGTTTCATTTTGTTCACACTCGCATTCTATTAGGTATATTCCGGGAGAGCTATTTGATGGTAGTTTTGCTTTGTTGCGTGAAGTTAGCAAAAATTTAAGATTTGCACTAGATTTAAAGATTGCCCTGTAACCTGCTTTCCTAAAGATTTTTCGAAGTTTTGGTGATAATATAGGGATCCATGGTATACAGCTGGCATGGTTGCTTCATTGTTAGATAAGTCTATTTCATTATTTGAGTGTCGTTTTTTTATAATAATATTTGCAAGGTTTTGTAATTTTTCTTTTCATATCCATTTTCAGCAAACACATTTATTAGGAAATAGATTTCTTTATTTAAAAATTTTTCAGAGCAAAATGATAAAGCTCTATGAATAAATCCATTAAATATTCCTTCTAGGATTTTTAGATCGTGGTTTGAATCGGGCTTAACTTGAATACTTGTTATTGCTTTTTTTCAATGTATGTTAAAATCATAATTACCTTTTTGATTATTGGTTATTTGGATGTCTAAAAAATTTAATCTTTTGTTTTCATATTCCAATTCAATTATGTATTTGATGGCATGATGTTGACTGTTCAATATTTGTTGAAAATGGATGGCATTATTTTTATTTGTAAATCTTGCGTGGCTATCATCTACGTACCTCAAAAACAATTTTATTTCTAACAGTGGATTAGAAAGAAGCGCAATATTGATTGCTTTATTTTCAAAAAAATGCAGGAAATCTTCTGCAAGTATTATCATATGTGAAAGTCCTATTGGACCTGAATCTACAAGCTCGTGAATTTCTTTATTCCATAAAAAATAACATTTATACAAGCACAGTTCTATTAGTGATTTTATTTCTGAAATGCTTAATTTTGTTAATTTAAATTTGGGAAGAGCTCTATTACCAAGAAAAATTTTGTGAAAAGAAGAATTTGTGGCCTTTCCCAAAGGGATTGATAGATATAAATTGACAAAGTCATAAGATACCTGTATTTCATCATTTGATATATTCCAAAGTTTAGCTGTTTTTACAAAAGTATTCCTTGTATGGAATACTGTTGCCATATCTGGGGTGATCTTCTAATGATGCCCTTTCTCTTTTAGATAAGGTGCAAAAAGTGCATTGTAAACATAGTTGGACCAGCTCTTGCAGCCAGCCTCCAACCATTATAACACCATCATAATGTTGCTTATCTTTCTCTTTTCTACAAATACTATAATGGGCACTGCTCTAAAGTCTCTTGTGCCATCTACTAAAATTCATTCTCGTGTTACTCATCATTTTATTAAGTCTCATCCTTTTTCTGTGACTGTTCCTAAGTGCTCCAAAAACTCTTATTCGTCTAGCTTTTTTCCTCCAACATCAGTTCTTTGGAATTCGCTTCCTTCATCTTGCTTTCTTGATTCATATCATTAGCAATCTTTTAAGTCGTCTGTCAATCGTTATCTTGCTCTACAATATTCATCTTTTCTCTTCCAGTAACTTCCAACTCTTATAGTGGTTGCTTGCAGCTTTGTTGGAAGCAAAGATTTTTTAAAAAAAAAGTAAAGTTGTAGTGATTGTTTAAGAGAATATTATTTTATATATATAATATATATAGAATAAAAATATATTATATATTATGCATATATTATATCTAATATATGTTTTTTTTTTTTAATTTCAATTCACCTCCCAAAGGCCATGAAGGCCACTACAATCGAGGAGGCTACTTATTTGTGGTTACAACCCTCTCTCAACTCTATAACTCTGAAACACAAACCTTAACGAACAAGGCAGCTGTGTGGAGAAACAAGATAAGTGCGGTATTACCAGGGACATGGAGGGGATCGAACTTGAAATTTCTTGCTTATGAGGTGAGTACTCTTCCACTACACCACTACCAAATTAAATTTATGTAATAAAATGTTACAAAATTTTGTGATAATATACTTTTATATTTTAAATAACATAAAAAAACATGTTATTTCTGAAATATATAGTATAACCACATCATCTCTTATCAAACTTGGTCAATTGTAGATATAACAATAGTAGATATTTTATTCAGTAAAAATATTAAAATACACAAAATGAGTAATTTTAATCTGAATTTTAGAATATTTGTTTTTAAACCTGACAATGAAGGTTAACAAAAATGTTTGAACTTAATTTTTATAAAAGTTGTATAAGTAAAGCCAAACTGTGTCATAAACAGATTTTAGCCAATTTAAAATGTAAGTATATGTATATGTACTTACATTTATATGTTTTATATATCAATGTAAGTTAATATTCATTTTTTTAAATAAATGCCAAAAACACATCCATTTATGTCATTTTAAATTCATGCATTATCATTTTCATTTGTTGCATTTTTGTTCAAACTTTAGTACACTTATTGCATTTTCATTGCTTTGTTTGAATCCCACTGTTTTTTACATGGATTAACTCTCCAATGACTGATTACATTGCGAAGCATTAAAACCAAGTTTTTTTTATTAATTCTCCCATTCTTCTGGTTTTCAGGCTGTTTGAGCATGCCTAGCATTTTGGTTAAAATAAGATATTTTCTTTCAACAAGAGTTGATCACATCATTCAACTCTTGTTAAATTGTTATTTTAATAGACTTCCTAAAGCAACTCTGTTTTCATAAATAGTATTCAATGGTTACATACATTAAATAAATTAAATAGTATTCAATGGTTACAATCAAACTCTGCAAATACGGTTTCTCTTAAGGTTTTTCTTAACAGCTTAAAAGATTGTAAAATATATTAATCAGGAAAACAAGTTGAATAGAGTGAATTCCAAAGAACTGATATTCGAGAAAGAAAAAAAAAAACAAATAAGAATTTTTGGAGAACTTAGGAACAGTAACAGTAAAAGGAAATTAAAAATTGTTAATTAACGACTCAAAAACTTTGCTTATGAAAACAAAAACTTTGCTTATTGAAAAAAGACTAATGGGACGGTTGTTATACAAGTCAGATTGCTCTTCAGAATTTTTGAAAATAGGGATAATAGATGTCGCTTTCCACTAGGCTGGAAAACAAGACTCTGATAGACACTTGTTAAATAGTTTAGAAAGTCTAGACGACACATATTTATATAGGACTAGAAAGACGACACATATTTATATAGGACTAGATGCTTGTACAGATGAATTTAATAACAAATAGTTTATGTCTAGAGGAAATGTTTTGAAATTTTTTTATAATTTCCAGCTACCATAGGAGGAGCCACTTTTGCAGTTTGATTGGCTAAATTTTGATAATGATTTTATTCAAAATTCTAAATATCTGATAAAGGTATAAATTGATGATTGCTTCAAAAAATTGAGTCTTGCAGGTATTAAAATAATCTTCAACATTATCTTCAGTACAAGGAGTTGCTCAGAGTGTTGCTATTTTACCTGCAATTCCCTGGCTTAATCTATGTTTTCAACATTTGATAAAAGCATTTTACCAAGCTTTGCCTGGTTTACTGTTTGTAAATAAGTTTGTTGTAAATAAACAGCGATAAATTTAATTTCTTGTTAGCAGATTCTACTGAAACTGCTAATCACTTTAATAAGTATATCGACCTTCAGAAAAAGTAATTATCAGTGACTTTAGGCCACTCTCAGCTAGATTTAAAATGCAGTTTTGTAGTAAAAGTTCTGCTGTAGATGTTTTTTCTTTTTTTGGAGTGTAAGTTAATAACTTAAAAACAAAACAAAAATTAATCTCTCTATCTCATTCAGTTAAAAAAGATTCACACAATGGGAAACAAGCAATTACCAGAAAAGGAATGACCAGAAACTCAATGCTGCTGCAAATGCACAAATAAAACTTGTCAACTTAAGATTATGTAAAGCATCATACCAATACAGCTCGCAGGGTTTTTTTTCCTAAAGAATAGAATTGATTTTAGAATGCCCTACATAAATGATGCTTTACATAATCTTAAGTTGACAAGTTTTATTTGTGCATTTGTAGCAGCATTGAGTTTCTGGTCATTCTTTTTCTGGTAATTGCTTGTTTTCCATTGTGTGAATCTTTTTTAATTAAATGAGATAGAGAGATAAATTTTTGTTTTGTTTTTAAGTTATTAACTTACACTCCAAAAAAAGAAAAAACATCTACAGCAGAACTTTTACGACAAAACTGCATTTTAAATCTAGCTGAGAGTTTATTTCCGAAACTAGAAAAGTGAAAAATTCTATACATAATAAACATGCAGTGAAAATATTTTTAATCAATTTTAAAATGGAAAGTTTTTCAATTCTAAACTATAATAAGCTTCTTGGAACATTCTTTTTCAGCTTCATCACATATCTTTTTTAAAACCTTTTTAAGAATTACAAATTTTTATTTTTACAGCTTCTTCAACAGATTGGATAAAATCTTAGTTTAATAAGCAGCATGTTGTTGCAAAAAATTTCCTTCAATTCTTATCAAATTTCTCTCTTAATACTTGTTAAATTTCTCATGTTAAAGTTATTATTTTGAGATTGATTTGGTACTGTTGTCTGGCTGGCGTAACTGATAACATTTGATAACTGATAGCATTTGTGATATTAATGGTGCCTGGTTGAACTTTTTATAAATTTTATAATTTTTAATAATACCATAAAAATTATTGAGTCTGGCTGAATGTTTTCACTTAGAAAAGGTTTGTTTGTGCTGAAATTCATATCTACAAACATTGACTTGCATTGGTGTAATAGTATAATTATTTACAACAGATTTAAATCAATTATTCCAACTCTCATACAAGATGTCGTCATTTAAAACATTATACATTTGTATATACATTAATACATTATATATTTATTAAATTCTCAGTATTTCAGTACTGCCTACTCAAGAAGGTAGATAGTAATAAAGTAATGTAATACTCAAGAGGGTAGATAGTACTAAAGTACTGCAATACTCAAGAAGGTAGATAGTGCTAAAATACTGCAATACTCAAGAAGGTAGATGGTACTAAAGTACTGCAATACTCAAGAAGGTAGATTAAATTCTCAGTATTTCAGTACTGCCTACTCAAGAAGGTAGATAGTACTGCAATACTCAAAAAGGTAGATAGTACTAAAGTACTGCAATACTCAAAAAGGTAGATAGTACTAAAGTACTGCAATACTCAAGAAGGTAGATGGTACTAAAGTACTGCAATACTCAAGAAGGTAGATAGTACTGCAATACTAAACATGATATATTATATATTGAAATAAGATATACAATACTATATATTTACAAAATAAAATACCTGTGCATTTAAAAAACAATTTCACAAAATCACTGTCTTCTTTGGAACAAAGAGATCCACATACATAAAGAACAACACCACATTGAACAAGACAAGGAGTGTTTGGCATTGTTCGAATCACTTTACATCCAGAGAGTCTCTTTAAAAAAATGTAAATTTTAACAAATAATTTAATGTTAAAAATTGTAATGCTCAGCTTAATCGCTTACTGTTTGAATAGTTTCAAGAGTAACACCGGTTGCAATTGATATAAACAGTTTGCTAGTAAGACCACCAACATCTTTTATCTGATCCAAAATAGAAGATAATACAAAAGGTTTAACTGCAAGAATAATTATGTCAGCTTGATTTACTACTTCAATGTTGTCAGTTGTGGTTGCAACACCTAACTCCTAAATATATGAAAATAAATTATCAAAAGCTAATTGGCCCCAATATAAACTTTAAATCTGATTTTAAGGCAGTGTATTTTAATGTGTTGCAGCAAACTCTGTTGATATTAACACCAGGGTTGTTTTGATTCTAATTGTTTTATTTAAATCAATTTAAATCATGATTTAAATTGAATTTTTCAATTTTAATTATATTTAATGATTATTTATTGACAAAATTAATTTTTCTAAAAATAATTATACATAAATTAGTATTAGTATATAGAATAATGTTAAAGTTGTTATTATTATTATTACTGTTATTATTGTTATTATTATTATACACAAAATAACTCTGATAAACAATATATTAACTTAACAAATGGAAAAAATGTTACGCCAACCACAAACAATCTTTTAAACAAAAGAAATACTCAAAATAGACCATGCTATTAAAATATATTTGGAAATTAAAATAAAAAAATATTAATTTTAAATTAAACTGGTCTATTCTAAAAACCTGCCTATAATAATATTTCCAAAAAATGTATGCAAAAAAAATTTGAAATTATTACCCATATGGATCAAGAAAATTTACTTAACAAAAAAATTTGAATTAAGAATAATAAATACTTTTAGAAAAGTTATAAAAACAAATGTAGCTAATGTAACTTCCTGGTTGCAACATAACTACATTTTTTATAAAATTAATTATAGAAATTCCCAACTTCCTGTGAGAAAATTTTCATTTGAATTTTTTGATATTTAGACATTCTTCCTAATAAACCTGATATATATATATATATATATATATATATATATATATATATATATATATATATATAATATAAATTCAACCCTCGAAATTAGGAAAAATGAGGTCAGCAATAATTTGCCGATCTCAATCTTTTAGAGGTCGGCACCAAGTTAGCAAAAAAAATTTGATACAAAGATCTTACCATAAAACATAGAAACAAGGTCGGCAATTTTTTGCTGACCTCAAATACTTTTAGGTCAGCAGTTAGGCCGGCACTGCCCAATGCCGACCTTAAATCCGAGGGTAGATAAATTAGTATATAAATTACATGACAAGTATCAAGCCTTCCTGGGGTTTTCATATAGTAAGCATTTTAAAAATTTGCGTCAAAAAAAAAGCTATAAGAAACAACAGAGAATAAAACAAAAATACTTGAACAAAGGAAACAAATACTATACAAAATAGAAAATTCAAATTAATTAAACTAAAAAAATTTAAAAATTAGAAAAAAGAAAAATTTTGTCAAAAAAATAATATATCTAAATATTTTACTGTTTTTGCTTTCTTTTTTTAGGGCGTTTGTTATTTTACACTACCAAAATCGAAGTTGAGGAAAAAAGTAGAATATAACGAAAATAAAAATATTTTTAAATATTCCCGATTTTTACCAGTCAATATATGAAGGAAATACCTTATTATTTGGGCTAGAAATATGGACAATTTTGAAATTAGTTTTCAAATTTTTTTGCTAAATTTTTACTAACTATTTTTCTCAATGCAGAGGAAAGCGACAAAGGTAATTGCTTTTTTTTTAAATTTTTAATAAGTTTAATAAATTCAAAAAATAAAAAGTCATTAATAGTAATATTCAAATATAAAATATTTGTTTGTTTTCACAACTCCTATTGAAATAGTCTACACTTTTGTTGGATTCTCCAAATGGTTCATTTAAACCCAATGGTTTATTTCCTAATGAATTATTGTTATTGACAATGCTCCAAAAGCTTGTGGGCTAGTGCATTGTTAATATACTGAATTTTTTTAACAAAATTTTTAAATTTAAAAGATGCAAACTGTCTAAAAAAATTACTTTAAATGTGGACAAACAAGCTGTGCAACCGCATGCACTTCCTGGGAAGGTTTCAGTATATACATAATTTATATATACAGCCCTCAGAATTAGGGTCGGCATTCAGCAATGCCGACCTATTTGCTGACCTAAACGTGATGCTTTTTTACAAACGTAGAACTGAGGTTTTTTTGATGATCTCAAAGGTCATCAAAAAATGCTGATCTCAGTTCTATGTTTTATGGCAACCCCTTTTAGTTATATATATTTTAAATTTTTGAAAATGTTATGTTATTTAATGTCATTTCCAGCCCTGTTTATGGATATCAGTTACTATAACTTCTGTAAAAAGACTCATTTTATGGTCTATGTGTTCAATATAATAAATGCTTTTGGTCTGACTTTGAATTTTCCATAATGGATCAGTTCTTTAGTTACATAAACATGTATATAGTGATTTTTTTTTTCACTCTACTGTAACGTTATAATATCTATATATATTTATTGTTATACGTAGAGATTGAGGTAGGAAAAAAGAATTTTATATTATTTATGTAATTTTTTACAGTTATTATATTATAAATATAATACAATACTTGTATTTCAAAAAATGAAATCTAAAAAATAAATAAAAAATAAAATGAAAATAAAGTAACAAAGATAAAAAGAAAAAGAAACAGCATGTTAAGATTTTTTAATACACAAATAAAAAAACAAAGCTTAGGTTAGCTTGCAATAAAACAAGAATCAAGCAAAAAGCAAGTATTTTAGTGTAATAGTTTACACACCAATGCATAAACTATAACACATATTGTAATCTCCCATAAAAAAAGTTTAACCTTAGTTTAACATTAGTGATGTACCAATTAATAGGCATTATATCTATGTATTATTTTATATGTATATATGTAATGTTTTGTATATGTATCTATGTATTGTTTTATATGTGTCTATGTATTGTTTTATATATGTATCTATGCATTGTTTTATATATGTATCAATGCTTTATATATGTGTCTGCGTATTGCTTTATATATATACTTATCTATGTATTGTTTTATATATGTATTGCTTTATATTTGTATCTATGTATTGCTTCATATATATATGTATTTATATTTCTATATGATTGCTGTTTAGATTAATATCTAAATTACTAATAAATACAGTTATTTGAGTAAAAAATATATTCAAAATGGCAAGAGCTTTGCTTGAAAAAGGTATTTCTTTAAAACCTGCTGGGTGTGGAAATATTTTACCATTTTTTCTAAAGATTAGGCAACTTGCACAATACAAGTTGCCTTATTTGACTTGATTAACTCATTTGATTTAACAAACTTTGTTAAAAACATCTTAATAGGAAAAAGTCCTGGGATATTAATGATCACAGGTCTAAATTAATTCATAACTATATTGCTGAAATGATTGCAGTTGATATGAAGTTTTATTGATTAGGAGATCTTCTAAAAAATATAAATCTTAAGAAATTATGTTTTTAACAAAATAATTAATAAACCTTTTAACAAATTTTTTTTTTTAATTTATCATAAAATTATTTCACTTTTAAAGCTTATCAATAATTAAAAAAACTTTTAAACCCAATTTGATAAAAATATTAGGCTGAGACCAATTATGATAATTAATGATAATATGATGGCAATTAAGTTTAACACTTATGAATAAAACCCACTAAATAATTGTGTGAAAAATAAATAGTAACAACTACTTATTATGTTGTACACATAATCATAATTTTCATTAATTTGATGTCATATAGTTAAACTTATGAAAAAGACTACATAAATTACAAAATATATCACCTTCCAAACAGTGTCTAACCTTACTCTAGTTCGAGCGCTTGCAATAATATTTTTTGGGGATAAGAACCCACTTGAAAGAATACCCTTAGCAATAGCGAAAGCCATATTTCCAGCACCAATAAATCCAACAACTTTGTTGTCCATGATTTCTTCAATTTAACAAGTGAAACACAATTAGACCAACTTTATAATAACTAAAACAACAAGGGAACCATAATTAAATCAAAATGACTTGAATTTAATAAATTTTGCAATAATGTAGCAAAATTATTCAAAGATCAAATAAATCAAAAAATAACTACACATACCACATATCTTGATTTTAATAAAGCTTGCAAAAAAAATGTTCATTTGATTAAAAAAATTCATTATATAAGAATTTTTGTTAGAAGTTATAAAACATGAATTATATTCAAAAATAACTTATTTACAACACAAGAAATTTGTTTATAAACAAATTTTTTTAAAGTAAACAAAATACAAAATATTATACAAGTGTTAAAAGTTATAATTTACAATGGAAAAAAATCCTATATAAAAAATTTTTTTTTAAAGTATTCAATAAATAAAATTTAAAATATTATACAAAAGTGTTAAAAGTTAAAATTTAGAATGGAAAAAATTTGTTTATAAAAATTTTTTTAAGAGTTATTCAATAAATAAAATTCAAATATTATACAAAAAAGTTTAAAAGTAATATACAATGCAAGAAATTCGTTTATAAAAAAAAATTTTAAAAGTTATTCAATAAAAATTTTGTTAAATATAATACAAAAGTGTTTAAAGTTATAAGTGCAGTAAATATAGTAAGTTACATCTATTAAAAAAAATGCTGCAAGTGTTTAGGAACTTTCACATGGTAATTGGGTAAATACTTGTAAATCATATTTAAAGACAAATTGACTAAAGATACTCCTCTCCATATTTTGAACCTTATATATATGTAGTCTAGATAACCACCTTCAATATGCTCACCAATCAACCAGATTTCATCATCTTTCCATGAATACTTTATACTTAAAAAATGTGACCAAAAAAAATTTACATATGAAAGAATCTGAAAGACAGAACCAAGGCGTAAATCAATAAGAACAATATAGCCTTCACCTGCTGTTAAAAAAAGTAACAGGCTTGTTTTGCTTGCTATTATTTCAAAAGAAGAAGGAAGAAATTCTTTATATTCTAGTAATTCTTGTGATATATCAATGATACTCTTTGTAAACATATCTCCCAAAATTTTTATTATAAATATTTTAGGAACTCCAGTTTCAATATTCTCTTTAGCAACAAAAATGTTATCACAAACAAGATAAAATCTTGTAATTTCACCACAGCAATTTGGAATATCTTTGTGTGAATAAATATTACTACTAACATTAACATAGTTTTTACATAGATTTGCAAAAAGAATTGTTTTTGAAGTTGATACAAACATTATAAGTGTCTCAATGTTATTTATTGCCTTTTTTATATTGCAAGGAATAAAGCATAAGCTATAATAACCACAAACTGGTTTAACTTCTTTATCAATTGAGATGTGCATGAAAGAGATTTTTGAATCGTCAACCCAAGATATAAGCCAAAGAACATTGTCAGATAGTTTAGCTACAGAATGATGGAAAGTATACTTAACTGTTCTGTAAACAATTTCATTGGTGCTTGTACTCAAATAGCAACACTTAATTTTTGATCGTTTCACATTTATCAATGCTATACCAACTTCATCAGATAAGTAAAAAGTTTCTGAAATTTTGATTGAATTTTGACTCTTCTTAAACTCAAAATATTTTGTTTCTTTCTTTTCTTGTTCTTGATTAGGAAAGTAAAATAAAATCTTATAAAACAAAAACGCAATTAAATCATCTTTTGGATTTTTAGTCACATTGTTATTTTGATAAAACTTATAACCATTTTTCAAAAGTTTCATACAAAGTTTAACATCAGGATAATTTGGTCTTTTAAAATTTACATGATATGATGTGCCAGGTATATCACTGTAACCACAAGATAAACTAAGACAAACAGGTACAGTTTTACCATTACGCAGTTTTGCCCAGTGTTCTGCATACATTATACTTGCATAGTTTAATTTAACTATGCATTGAACTTTTTTCACAATATTTTTAATACTTTCCATAAACATTAAAATGAGCATTTCATTTTAGATCATCATCATCATCATCATCATCATCATCATCATCATCATCATCATCATCATCATCATCATCATCATCATCATCATCATCATCATCATCATCATCATCATCATCATCATCATCATCATCATCATCATCATCATCATCATCATCATCATCATCATCATAATAATAATAATAACAATAATAACAATAATAATAGCAATAATAAAAATAATAATAAAATAATAGCAATAATGATGATGATGATGATGATGATGATGATGATGATGATAGAAATATTAGTAATAATAGAAATAATAATGGTTACAATTTAAAAATTTGATAAGAATATCATATACATGAAATAATCACATTTTTGGCATAATAAAAAACTTTAACAGCTTTTTTTTGTCTGGTTAGAACACTAAAGAATGGTAAAACAACAAAACTAAAGAGAAACGCAGCTTTTTGTAAACTTATTGATTAAATGTCAGGGTTTTTCTAAACAATAAAAATTAATTCAATATAAAAACTTTTTTTTACGAAATTTCAAACATTGATAAAACTCTAAATAGATATTGGCTACCCATATTGGCTCTAAAAATAGTTTTTAGATAATGTAGCCCTACTCATAATGGGATTGATATTGGTAAAAAAATAAATTAAAATAAATATTTTTATTTATTTTAATATTAATTATTAAATGACTGACAAACAGAAAATGTAAATATATAAAAACTGTGGGTCCATCGAAGCTGAGTTAAATTTTTTAAACTTTTAAATAATGATTTTAATATAAATTGATACATACATTTTTTCCACTAATCTATTAAACTTTTAATTGAACATATTCTTACATTTTATTGACTTATATTTTTTGTCTAAATATCAATCCCATAATGGCAACTATTAAAAATTTAAATATCTCTAAAATAATATACTATTAAAAATAAACTACTTTTAAAAATAGTTTATTGGAGGATTGGAGTCCATTGACTGTTTAAGCAAATATTTTCAAATTTAATTTAAATGCACTTGCTATATAAATTTTCAAGCAAAGAAAACATAATTATAACCCAATAATCTTGTCTAACAAGAAAAATACATGTATCATAAACATAAAGTAGTATGCTGCTTTTTATATGCATAGATTAGCTTTATAAGATTTGATAATTCATTGAGATACTTTTATAAACATTTTAAACAAGCTCCTCAATAATAGAATAAAAATTTATAGGCTAAAACAAAAGGTACAATATAAACATAAAATTTTTAAAAAGTATGTAAAATCCATGCGCTAATTTTCAAAATTTTTTAAACTTTAATGAGCTACTTTTGAAGTGCCATTCATATTCAGCCATTTCTGCTTTGTAGAGTCATAACTGGCTGAAGACACAACTGTTTCATTTGTTTGTGATATAAAACTATTAGTTGAAACAAATCCATTTAACAAAGAGTGATATTGAGAAGGCATGACAGCCATAACCTCAGCAATTTTACCTTTCAAGGCTTCGACTTCAGCACTTTTAATATTTAATTGACTATGAACAACTTCGAGTTGTCTTCGAGTATCTCCAAGAGCAGAAAAAAGATCTAACTTTAAACGTGTTTCAGAACTTAAACTGTTTTCTAAATGAATATTTTTTCCTTTCATTATATTTAATGCTCCATTAAGAAACTCTAAATCTTTTTTCATTTTATCCCAATCTGCATCTGGGTTTTTCTGCTTCAATATAAGACTTTCTTTTTTTAAGTCTGAAATTGAATTTGTTGCTTCATTAAGTTTAGCTTGCAATTTACTAATTTCGTTTTCAAGTTCTTGGCGTTTAGACAAACAACTATCATGGTTTTCTATTTTATTTATAGCTTCATTTTTCTTTTTCTTTAGTTCAAGAAGCTGATTTTCTGCATTTATTCTGCTTTCTTTTTCAAATTTGAGTTTCTTCTCGAGAGAGGTAATTAGTATTTTTTCTTGTGATTTCATATTATTTAGAGAGATTATTCTAAAAATAAAAACATTAAAATGATCTATAAAAAAACTTTAATGGAGATAAAACAATAAAAAGACAGATATTAAATAGAGGTTTGCAGAATGCCAAAATACCTAAATTTTGACAATCCATTATACACATTTACATACTCATCATCACTCCAGTTACTTTATTATATAAAACATGTCAGACCTGGTAAACTATCAGGCCTTGCAATCTTGAGATAGGGCTCCAAAGAATTAATTTGTGAGATAAGAAACTAGATGAAATACTTTTAGAGTATAAAGAGACAGATAGAGTAAAAGGATGTGACTTTGCTCAATAATGAGCTAAGCTAGAATGAGAGTTTTGGTTGATGAAACTAGAGATGATAGCTCGTTTGAGCAGCAACCATGATAGCATGTGTAAGAAAGAAAAAAGCTCAAGCTTTAGAGATAGAGCAGGTCCAACTACATTTACCATACATTTTTGGATATTGCCTAGAAGAGAAAGGACATCATTTGAAGAACCAGCCCTATTATGACAACAGTATTCCATACAGGGAAAAATAAAAGAATTGAAGATTTAGAGAATGGAATCAGAAAAATAACTTTAAGGTCTATTCATATTATGTGTCAAAATTGATAGAACTTATGACAATGGGCCTTTAATATTTTTATTTATATTTTGTATTCAATTACAAAACATTTTCATTTTTTTAAAAAAAAAGACTTCAAGTTGATAACCCCAAGTACTATAAGTTTTCTCAACCCTGAAAATAAGTATATTATTTCAAAACTATGCTTTTTTATTATAATTTGTTATCTTGCTTACCAATTACAGCCAAGAATGAAAATATGTATGAAGATACTTACTTTTGCTGCAAAATACCATTATCAGAATTAAGTTGATCAAGCTCAGAAGTCAAGTAGCGTTCAGTACTGAGCCCTTCTTTAATTTGGGTGCGAGATTGCACATCTAATTGACGTGCAGACTGCATTTCATTGCGCAGTTTTTTCAATTCACACTCAAGTTGTAAAACTTGAGCTTCTGCTTTACGTCTAAAAAAAATTTATAAAATTGTAAAACAATCTGTTAAACATATCCCAAAACATATACAAACCATGACTATAGTGCTCATTCTCCACTCAAACCATGACTCTGGTGCTCATTCTCCACTCATTGAAAACTTTGATATTTAATGATGCTATTTATTGATTTTTCATATTTCAAAGAAATTATTGTTTGTTGCTTGTGCTAATTTTCAAGTTTAAAAATTTTAAAAACTCATACCTCAAAGTTTGCTCATCTTTGAAAAGTTTAACATGCAAAGCATCTGATTTTGAGGGTTTTACAGTTTTTGGAGAATTATCTTGATTTACATCACCACTGATTGATGACTGTTCACTGTCTGAACACTCTGCATCATTATCACTTTCAGTTTTTTTTAATTTAAAACGCTTTATTTCTCCATTACAAGTTTTATTAACTGTCTTAACAGATGGACGAAAACTATCTATTTCATTTTTTTTGTTGAAATCCTTTACTTGTATGCAAGGAATAACTTCAAGATCATTAAGTGAAAGAGAAGAATTGTTTTGTCTTTCATCAAAAATTGTTTGTTTTCGTTTTTTTGTTTCACTATTTAAGACATCTACATCTAGTTTATTTAAATTACTATTTGCTAGTATCATAGGCTTTTTTACCTGCAAATTCTCATCTGAAATAATTTCAATAAAAACATATATTTATTATAAAAGCACATATTATTAAAGCACAAAAAGAATAAACTATCTATTGAATAAAAATTTAATTTTAATGATACACTTTAAAAAAACTAATTTATATTTAATAATTGAATTTAATGACTTGGAAATAAGCAAAGATTACCTATTATATTGGCACTATATAAACTTTTTTATGTCATATTTTTTGTACACCCAGTCAAGTCCTTTTAAATAATGAATTCTATCTGATATAATTTATCTGTTATGATATGCATTTTATTATGTATTTATCGTTCTTTTGATTTTGATCTACTTTGAATTATTACTCAATAAAATTAATGTGCTTCATATAAATTTATAATACCTTCCCAAACCCAAAACCTCAGCCAATGCATGTACTGAAGCCGCTGCAGCTTCCTATTTCATTATGACATTTTATGCAAGGCTAAGTATGCAAAGGTATTTGCATGTGATTATACAGTTCAACTAATGAAGTTTGAATCCTTGAGGGGTCTCAAAATATGTTTGAATTACAAGAGTTTTTAAATTATAGGAGTGTAATCTTAAATATTAAACCCTGAAACATTGATCACATATATATCATACATATGTAAAACACACACATATAAAAGCATACTTAGGTTTGCATCATACAGAAATAAGGAGCTGCAGAAGGCTTACACATACATTGACTAATATAAGGGGATGTAAGGTAGTATATCTATACCCTCTATAACATATTTGCATATGTGTATATATATATATATATATATATATATATATATATATATATATATATATATATATATATATATATATATATATATTAGGGTGTTAACTTTTTGGTATCTTTAGTTTCCAATATAAAAAACAGATGAACTTTGGTTTGAAAGTAACTGAAAAGTCATTGGTTTTATCTAATTTTTGAAAAAGGTCACCCACCATGACCCTGGCTCCCATATATCAGTGAATTCTTTTTTCTTCAAAAGTATATCAACCTGAGTCCTTTTTTTATGACATTTTATTTGCAATACTTTTTTAAATGTTTCAGTAGAAAAGATTATGAATTTTGAAATCACTACAAAAAATTTTGGTTCTTTTGAGACCCAGGTTGATATACTTTTAAAGAAAAAAAAAAATTCATTGATATATATGGGAGCCAGTGTATAATAGTATATATATTATTATACACTGGTTTATATTATATGCCACCCAAATCTTTCAAAGGGCTACTGGAAATAGTGTTTTGATGCAATTGAGTCGCCTGGCCGGGCAACTATTAAAATTGGTTCATTTTTAAACTTATTACTTAAATTTAAATTACTCATTATTTTAATTGATACTTTTGCCACAGTTTGCATTTCTATATTAGGCAATATTTTTGGCGGTAAATTTGTTCTTTTGTTTTAAGACAATTCATTTTTATCAACAAAACTTTTGATAATTTTTTAATCTAATTTAACAATAAAGCAACATTTTAAAATCTGAATGTTGAAGGTTATTTTCTTTCTGTTCTATTAACTCAAGTCATTCTGTTTAAATTAAAACGCTGGTTTTTGCTTTTTATAAAGAATAAATGAAATTTTTGAAGTTATAATGATGCTAATAATTAGCAAAATTTTTTACAAAATGAAATTATAAAAATTCCTTATTTTAAAACTTTTTTTATTTAATTTCGTTAAAACGTTAATTGTATACATTTTGTTTAAATAATATAATAAAAATTTTAATATACAAATAAAGTTTTTTTATAAGCTTTATAATAGTAAACTTTCCATTGTTATATTATTAAAAATAATTTAAATATAATGATACATTTTTATTTTAAAGAATAACTTCAAAAAAACCAATCTCTCAAAGTCTTTAAAATATACGCCGCTATCTACAGACTTTATAATTTATTCAAGCGCGTTTAATTCCAAAGAGATTTAGTAAATTATGTCATTGAAGAATTTTTTTTTGTATCAATACTATTTGTTTTTAAAAATAAGTGTTTATTATCAATCTTATGACTTTCCTATAAATTTTATAAGCTAAACAAAGAAATGTTTTTTTATAGGGTTTTCCACATTTTCTATTATTAATTAGAACATAAGAAAATTGTACGTGCATTTTAACATATTTAATAAAATACTTTTTAAATAAAAACTAAAATATTTTATGGGTTAAACAAATTTATTATTTTATTTTCATTTTTACAAATTTTATTTAAGGATTTAGAGATAAAGTAATAGAACTAAATTTGCCAAAGAAAAAAATGCTTTGATTTCTGTTAAGAAGCGTAACGCAGCTTACTTTTTCATAAATCTCAAAAGTATTCAGTTAAGCGAAAACTTTTTTGTAAAATGTAAATATCGAAAGCTTTCAGTTAGGCGAAAACTTTTTTTTGGAATATTTAAATATCATTTATGTGATATTTCTTTAGAAAATATTAGGTTATAAAAAATATTTAACTTTTTTAATTTAATTTTTAATTTAACCAATTTAATTTTTCAAGGAAACAAATTGTTTTATAAAAAAATTTTCTAATTTTAAAAGACTTTAAATATGATTTTAAAAATTTAAATTTAGTTTTGAAGGAATAAAAAATAATAAAATGTTGAATGTAAAATTTAGTTTTAAATGAATATAAAATAGTTTTAGAATTTTTATTAAAGAAGTTTTTTGAAATCGTTTGATAACTAATTCACTGCATAAAATATAAGTCTCTCTATCATAGATTATTATAGATTATTGTATGCAAAAGGAAATTAAAAATATTTTTTCTTATAAAAAGGGAGAAGTGCTTTTGTTTAAGAGAATTCTTTTAACCAATGTATTTTTTTTTTCTTATTAGTTCAATATTGTGTAAAGTTCTTTTGATGTAATATGTTTATGAACAAAAATTATGTTTACAAATATCTTATTGGTAACTGATAAAATCTATCTACAAATTGTTTATAATCTTTATTAAAAACACTACATTAAATACGTAAAAATTAAAATAAATAAGTTGTGATAAACAAACAAAAGATTATGTTAAGTATAAGATTGTTTTAAGAATTAAATTATAAGGAAATAAATAATAATATTTAGCTTTGAATTTAATCTTTCGGTTTAAAATTAAATTTAATTACAATGCCATACTTGTCAATACTTTCAAAATATCAATTGCTTTTAAGCTCCTGTAATTTTATTAATTAAAACACATTAAAAGCAAAGGGTTTTAAAGTATTTGTAACTTGTTTTTTTATAATTGTCAATACTTTATTGTTGTAAAATTTTATCAATAGTTTATAATATTACTTTTATTAACGCAAATTTATTTTAGTCTACACTTAGCCCTATAATGAAAAATGACTAAAATGTGCGAGAAAATGCTAAATATAAAAATTTTCATAAAAAATAGCGACAGGCATTCAAAAAGTTGGCGGGGCGAGTCTGTGGAGTGTAACCCTGTGTGTATGTATATATACATATATATATATATATATGAATATATATATATATGTATATATATATATATATATATATATATATATATATATATATATATATATATATATATATATATATATATATATATATATATATATATATATATATATATATATATATATATATATATATATATATATATATATATATATGTATACATATATATGTATATATGTTAGTTTAGTTTATTCAGTAATCAATCATAAAATTACAACATAAAATTAAAGCCAAAAATAAAAATAAAATGATTGATGATGAGGGGCAGCACCAGGCTCCTCTGTTCTGACAGTCTTGTGTAGCATACAAAGTAGCTATAGTTAGATAAAAAAGATTTTAAAGCAGTTGACACGCGCATCAATAGTCTTTTATGGGAGAGCGTTCCAGTGATGTACAATTGATTTGTAAAAAAATACTCTCTTTCAATACAATGATTTACGCTTTGTTTATCAAGGCACTGACTGTGACTTCAAAGATTGTAATTCAGTCTAGCTAAGTGTTGCGTCTGTGGCACATGAAAAAAGATCTTGTCTATGTTTTGAGTGATTTTGAATTGCTGAATTAGGTCGTCCCGTGTTCTACGGTCTTCAAGAGTTGTTAAACCTAATATTTGCAATCTTTGGGTGTATGGTAAATGCTTTAAGAGTGCAACCGTTTTTGTCGCACGCTTCTGCACTTTTTCTAGTGTTTCAATGTCGCATTTTATATATATATATATATATATATATATATATATATATATATATATATATATATATATATATATATATATATATATATATATATATATATATATATATATATCTGTACCCCAGTGGTCAACTATCGTAACTGCAAAATTGCTGATTTTCAGGTTTTTATCTTAACTGTCACAAGGAGACCGTCATAATGTGGTATTAAAGATATTATTCAGACCCACTGAAATGTATGAAGAACTTCAAATATCAATTTTAAAAATAAAAAAAGCTGTTTTTTAACAAAAAAAAAAGAAGTGTAGTAACTTCATTTGGCTCTCCTGTAAAATTTGTCAAATGTGAGTTACGATAGTTGACCTCTGAGGTACAGATATATATATATATATATATATATATATATATATATATATATATATATATATATATATATATATATATATATATATATATATATATATATATATAATAATAATAATAATAATAATAATAATAATATTGTTCCTAAAGATGTCAATCCCCCAAATTAACCTAAAGAGCGCAAGTTTGAAGATTTTTGGGCAATAGTAAAAGTAATTCTTCGTAAGACAGGTGGAGTAACAAAAAATAAAATGAACTTCCAAAAAAAGTTGATTAATGCCACCAATATGGCGAAAAAAGAAAAAATCTGCAAAATGATGGCATAAACCCGCTATTAAATTTAATCTCTTGCCAAGCCGCCTTAAAATTAGGTTGAAACACTAATTGATGTAAACACATTTAATAAAAAAAATTAAAATAAAAATCATTTATGGTTTTAGAGAAATCTTAATTTAAAGTTGACCAGATTTGTTCACGTCCACCCAATAAAGGGTAACATAATGCCAATATAATAGTACACTATTTTTTTTTTTTTTTTTGTAATTTTGGGCAATAATTTTTTTAGAGTGTAGTGTTTATATTGAATTGCAAATAAAAAGTATCCAATTGTATATAAATAGTATACACTATTAACTGTACATAAAAAACAAAAATTAAAATTTTTTAAAAACTTAGATAAAATAATTTGAAAAACATCTTTAATATAATTGATAGAAAAACAAAAAAGAAGGTACCATTCACTTCTGCAGGTAAAGCATCTGATACTAGCTGATGGTAAAATTTATTTTGTTTTGCTACTTCACATTGCTGGTACTTAAAAAAAAAACATCTGATAACTTCAAAAAAAAAAAAAAAAAAAACATCTGATAATATAGCTTCAAAAAAAGATCTGACTCTAAATCTATAATGAAAAATCTTTCAGAAAAATTTATTTTTTTCAAATTTAGTTTCATATTTAATTTAAAAAATAACTTGTTCCTTTTTTGAAGAAACAACTTCTATTTAACCAAAAACATCATGTTACATGCATAAAATTTGAAAATTAATTTCCCAAAAATAATCATTCCTGAGCACTAAAAATGTGATATTAACTCTGATCTCAATCTTGAATTTTTTCATTTTATAAAAAGTTAGATAATAAAAATTAAAATTCAATATTTTATGATAAACTTAAACAAATATTTGATAGTTTTACAAAATCTAAAAACAAATTTTTAAATTGTTATTAAAGAAACATCTTTTATGCTAAACTAAATTTTTGCAAATAATCAAATATTGGAAAAAAGTTTTTACAAACCTTTTCCAATATTTAATATTGGAAAAATGTTTGTAAATATTACAAACTTTTTATTTAATATTTTTACAAACTTTTTTCCAATTTTTACAAACAAAATTTTTTTTTGCAGAATATATAAAATGCTTGACTTGGTTTTTGAGGTCAGCACTATGAAAAGCATATGAAAGCACTATGAAAATCACTCATCACAAAGGAAAAACAATATTAGAACAGGGAAAAAAAAAATGAAAAGATTGGAAAACAAAAAGAAAAAGACAAAAAAGATGTTGCTAAAAATAATAATAATAATTTTTAATAGCATTTTTAAAATGACAAGATAACTTAAGTACAATATTTTTAGAATTTTTTTTTAAATATCCATCATTTGTTTATTTTTTTAGGATAGATATTTTTTATTTACTATTTAATTCAAAATCTTTTTTACTTTCTACTTTACAAAAGTTTTTTGTATTATTGTTATACTTTTAGGTGACACTCATTTGATTAATTTGTAACTATTGATATATCATCATTAAAATTTTATTTAGATTATTATAATCATATCATTATGATTATAGATGTTATAAATATTAATTAATTATTGTCAGCTTCTTTACAATAACTATTTTTTACCTCACAGTAGGTTGTTACTTCACAGTAGGTTGTTACTTAATGCTTTTAACTGTTTTGTTTTAACTGCTTTAACTTTTTCTATGTATATTATACAATTATAATCTATTATAAATTATTTTTGTTATTATCAGTGTTGATAACTTTCAATTAAATCATAATTATTCTTATCATTATCATTATTATTTTTATTGTTAAATGTTGTTATTATTATTATCAATATTATTATTTGTATCATTAATATTCTTTAATAAGTCCCTCATATCTAAATAATACCTGCTGATTGCTTATAAGCTTTCACATTCCAGTGTGAAAACAAGCCCCTCATATCTAAATAGTACCTGATAATTGCTTGAATGCTTTTAAATGAAAATAAGGAGATTAATGAGTGTAAGAAGTTGAAAAAAACACAGTAAAAAAAATTAATTCAGTGATCATTCAGGTCATATGTGAAAAATTTGGAAAAAATCCATAATAGTTTTTTGTTAACTCAGCTTAATTTAGGATTGGGCTTTCTTGATTTTTATGAAATTTTCAAACTCAAACTTTGTATGGGTGATAACTAAAAAACAAACATATTTAAAAATTGATATTTAAAACTGTATTTATGGGAAAAAATTCTATTATATTTTCTTTTAATTTTTAGTTTTTACTTTTGTAAAAACTTACAAAAACTAAAAGTTTTTACAAAAGTTAAAACTTTTAGTTTTTACTTTTGCTGTATTTTAGTTGCTACTTTTAGCTGTATTTTAAACATCTTAGCCTTTTTCTTAGTTGGGGACCAAAAATAGTGGCATGTGCTGTTTTGTGCATACCCCTACTTCATCGATGCAAAAACTGGTAAAAACAAAAACTTTGGCAACTTTTGCATCTACTAATTTTATAGTTTTGCTTAACTCTGTAAATTAACTTTTTGCTTAAAATGTAACTCAATAGTAATAACTTTTTAAATACTTACATGTTTAATTCTATATCCAATATAACTTTTAAATCCATACCCTAAGCTGACTACAGGATAGCCAATACTAAAATTTTAGAAGAAATTTTCAATACATTATCATGCAATTAATAATATAACATATACTTCTAATCAAAATAGAAAATATGATTTTTTTTTTTTAAGAAGATTATTTTCTAAAGATTTAAGAATTAAATAATATTACTATTAAAATATAAGACAAGAAAAGATAAAAAAATCCATGGACAGTGTCCTCAAATCTATTTATTTATCTAAAAATTAGTAAAAATTTTCTTAAAATTTCACAAATTTTCAGATAAATTAATAAAGTCAGGAAAATTTCCAGAAAATTTAAAATGACTGTTAAAAAAAAATCACAATAAAATCTGTAACAGAGGCCATTCTGGAATCAGAAGATAATACAGCATTAGAGTCTATTGTACAAGATGTCTACTCCTATGTCACAGATAAGATTTATGATGTGTTGCAAAACTCAACACTGCTGACTTAACAACAAAAAGAGATTTCTCTTTTTGTTGCAAACTTTCTTTTCAACACTACTTGTGTTAAAAAAAAGTTTTTTTTATAATATCAATGCACTTTGCAGCAATCTAAGATTTGTTGGTCAAGAGTTAATTCATTTAGAAATGCTTTTAGCTAAACAGCATGTATTCAGAATAGCTGAAAATGAAACACTAGCCACTGATGATATATTAAATGAATAAGCAGGTAATGAAATATTTAACCAGGATAATCACAGCTATATTTGGAAACTAAAAGAACATTAAAATTTTAATTATAATTTTATCAAATTGAAAAAGCATAATAGATTGATGAAATTGACAGTATTTAAATGAAAATAGTGACGATAGTGATATAAAAGTATTTAACATTAAGTATTTAAATGAAAATAGTGACGATAGTGATATAAAATAGTGAAAAATGGCTTAGTATTTGCAAAGGCATATTATTTTATAATAGTTAAAGAGTTTATTTAAATAAACTTTCCCGCCCCCCCTACTCTCCCTCAAATAAAAAAAAATAAAAAATAAAAAAAATAAAAGTTCTTCATATGTACCTCTACAGATAGCTATTTCAGTATGATGTAATCAAAAATGTTTCATGTTCACAAAGATACTTGCAGAAATAATAGAAAATTTAGGAAAATTTATTGAATATTTTTTGTTCAAAATGTTATCATTAAAAACTGTATCATTTTTTAAAATAAATATTACTTTAAAAAATGATAAAATTTATTTTACTCGATGAGTCATCTACCCTTCATCTTCAAGGATTAACTATTTATTTATCAAAATTTTTACTTATTTCAATTCACCTACCGAAGGTCATGAAGGTCACTACAGTCGAGAAGGCTACTTTAGTTGTGGTTACAACCCTCTTTCAACTCTATAATTCCAAGAAGCAAACCTTGATAAACAAGGCCGCTGCGCAGAAAAATAAGTTGAGCAAGGTAGTGGAGATCGAACCAGGGACGTAGTGGAGATCAAACTCAGAACTTTTCATTTAGGAGGCGAACAACAACAGCAACAACAAGATATTTATTTTCCTCAAATTTACAATATAATTACAATAATATAATAATAATAATAATAATAATAATAATAACAACAATAATTACAATAGTAACAATAATAGGAATAATAATAACTATGTTATAAATAATAATAAAAATAATAATAATAAGAATATCTATAATATTATAAATAATAAAATCAAAATATAATTGTTAAGAATAAATATAAATAATTGATTGAGGAAGGAGTCACTCATGCAGAATCCTGATCAAAGGAGTGACACCAAATAACTATATTTATAACATTAATTTAAAAAATAATAATAACAATAAGAACTTTACTCATTAATAGAGCAAAAGTATTTATAATAATTAACAAAAATAATAGTATTTATAATAATTGTAATAATAATAGTAATAATAAAAACAGCAGTAATGAAAGTAATAAATATTAATGACAAAAATAATAAAATTTCTATAGAAATAGTAAGAAAAAAAAAAAAAAAAAAAAAAAAACTAAAGAAAGTTAATAATAATAAAAACTTAAAATAAAGTTTTTTTTAGAACTTGTTTAAATTTATTTTGTTTCAAATAAAGAAATGAAGATCAATTATTTTGAAATTTTAATTTTTCAAACTCATTCACAATGCACACATTGTGAATGAGTTTGATTCCATTCACTGATGCACTGATGTGTAATTGAATACTTACCATACCTCAAAGTTTTATAGGGAGGTACATTTAATTTTCCATTATTGATGTTTCTAGTTAAATGTGAATGTATAAATCGAGTTTCAATGAAGAAGGTTGTAATAGAGAAAGGTAAATTTTTATTAAGGGAGTCAAAAACAAAAAGAAGATTAGCAAATTTAACTAGTGCTAACAAGGTAGGAATTTTAAGTTTCTTGAAGAACTTTGAAGTTTCTGTATTATGGACTTGAAAATTAATTATTCGGATTGATTGGCGCTGAGCTGATAACAATTTACCAATATTACAGTTGCCAATTTGTCCCCAAACTTGATAACAGTAGATGAGATGAGATTGAAAAATTGCAAAAAACAGATACTTAAGGTTTTATCAACATAATGCACTCTACCACTACTACATCTTACTATCGATCTTTCTTGGAAACCATATTTCAAATCCATTGCAAAATTAGCATCTGCTAAAGTTGCATCTCTTTATTGTCACTTTCTTACTCTGGATCCTATTCTTTATCTCAATAAATCTAGAGCCAATCTTTGAATGATACCCTTCCTTTTTAGACAAGGTACAAAAACGCATTGCAAACATAGTTGGACCTGGTTTTGCAGCCGACCTTTTACCATTGTCACATTGTTGTAATGTTGCTTCTCTTTCTCTTTTCTATAAATACTAAAATGGGCACTGCTCTAAAGACCTAGTGTCTCTTGTTCCATCTACTAAAATTCATTCTTGTGTTACTTGTTATTCAATTAAGTCTTATCTTTTAACAGTAACTGTTCCTAAGTGCACCAAAAAATTCTTATTTATCTCGACTTTTTCCTCAAACATCAGTTCTTTAAATTCACTCCATTCATCTTGTTTTCCTGATTTATATAATTTGCATAATTTTAATTAAGTTGTCTGTTAACCGTAATCTTACTTTATAAACTTCATCTTTTCTCTTCCAGTAACTTCAAACTCTAATTGTGGTTGCTGCAGCTTTGTTGGTAATGAAGATGTTTAATAAAAATTACCAACAAGGCTGTAGACAATTACTTATAAATTAAGTTGAGAGTAAAGGGTGAAATATAAAGAAAGTAGAGAAGAGAGTATAGAAATTCAAAGCACTAATGTTCGTGGAAACAATTAAATAAATAAAATATTTTTGAGCAAGAAGGAATAGTTTACAGCAAAAGGATGCGACTTTGCTAGGTAAAGAGTCACATATCATTTCACTCACCAGTATTTTCATTAAAAAAATACTGATACATTATTATATTTGTGTATATATATGTATATTACTATATTATTCAGTATAACAACATAGCACATAAATTAGTTAAGTTTTTATCATAGTTTTTTAGTATTTGTTATAGTTTAAAAATTACATTAATTCAGACCATAGAGATATATATTCAGGCTTGGTCGGGAAGCAGGAGTGATCACTCTCGATTAATGACTACAGAAACAATATTTGGTTGCAAAAAACTTGCCAGATTTTTTAGTTGTTTTGAGAACATTTCAAAAAGCGAAAAAAAAGCCCAAAAAAGATTAATAGGACTGATGAGAGACAATTACAAAAAATCAAAAATAAACTAGGAAAATAAAATATCTTTTAACGCGAAAAAACTTAAAGCAAAGTAATTTATTTTTAAAACAAATATTTTTCGAAACATTGCTCTTATATAATTTTTTTATAAGATTCTAATAAAACTAACACTAGTTTTAGTTTTGTTTAAGCTAAATTATTTTATAAATAAAAAAGTTAATTTTTTAATAATTATAAGCTTTGTGTAGTTTGAAAAATTTAACATATTTGAAACACTTCTTTTTAGTAAGATGAACAAATAAAATAATTAAATCATTGAGTTACTGTAGAAATTAAACTAACTAGATAGAAATCAACTAAAAAGGTTAAAAATAAGGTTAACTTTATGATGAGGAAGCAATAAAATACTTTATGACGAGAAACTGCTTCACAATATCGCTGATGACATTTATTGAGTGGGCTTTTTAGTTTTGATTAGTACTTAAAACAGAAAAAAGTATAAAGAGTTCGTAAGAATAAAACTGAAGCAAAAATAATTAGAGTTAGTAAATCCACATCTCAAAACTTTTCTTTATATCTAATAACTTTATATATATATATATATATATATATATATATATATATATATATATATATATATATATATATATATATATATATATATATATATATATATATATATATATATATATATATATATATTATATATATATATATATATATATATATATATATATATATATATATATATATATATATATATATATATATATATATATATATAAAGATTATGCTAGATAACTCAAAACTTAACAAATCTTGAATAATACAATTATTAAAACATATGAACAGAATACTCTAGAATTTTATTTCGATTAGTCAGCATATTTTTTGACCTAATAGAATTAGTTTGTTCATAAACTTGGCGGGTTTTTAGTGTTTGTGAATATTCTTTTTATTCTTCCACACTAAGATGTTTTGAGAACATTTAAGTTTATGTATGTTTCCATGTATGTCCATAAAACAAAAATTTTTTGTTTTATGGACATACATAAACTTAAATGTTCTTAAAATTGCATGTAAACAGTGAAGAGTAGGTAAAAAAAAAGTAAATAAAAGATTAGAAAGTATATAAAAAATTAAATAAAAAAGATAACTACTTATGTATGTAAATTTGAATTGAAAATTTTGTGTTATACACATCGGCTCTCAACAAATTCAAGATGGATGAAAATATCAACAGAAACTGTTTGCAGACCTTTTAAGAACTTTGTTTTTAGATCACGTTCATTATTTAGA